GTGTTATAACTCAGGCTTTGGTCTTTTCACCCTCACCCTCTTTTTCTTCCTTGGGCTTCTCATCTTTATTCTCGTCAGAGGAGGAAGACGAAGAGGAAGAATCTCTCTTATTTTTTTCAGAGGTTTTTTTCTTTTGGCTTGGAGTAATAGGAGCGGCTTCATTGTTAACGACGTTCTTCTTGATGAGATCTCCCGCCAAAACCTCGAGGGGGTCAACTGCTGCGGGGGGAGTGGGGGAAGTGGACTGGTTAGCGGGGGAGCTTTTCTTGCTCTTAGGGGTGTCTTTTTTCACCACTTCCTGCTGCTGGGCCACCTTCTCTTCAGGCTTTTGCTTCTCTGGAAATGAAAAATACATCAGTCAGGTGATTCTTCACCAAAAACACGGGACAGAGAAATTCAAATTGGATTTGGATTTAGTTGTGTAGTGTTCAAATCTTGCATGCAGTTACAGGATGCAGTTAAGTGACTCAGCTTTAAAGGAAACATGCCTATTTGCTTTCTGCTGCAGAGATGTGAGAATCTGGAAGTGTTACCTACATCCTCATATTTCTTTTATCAGGAACACAAATAACCATGTTTGTCAAAACTACTCCTTCAAGAAGTGACGTGAGGGTTAGATCTCAAGTTGAACTTTGCATGCTTTAACTGAATACAAAGTGTGTAAACAATATGGCCTTATTATCCACGTATATAGTGAAAAATTTCATCAACAATATTGTTTACAACATATCAAATCTACACACTGGCGCTGGAGTTTTTGTGATTTGATTTTTTTCTCCAGGCTCGATCCAGAACTTACCGCTTTGCAGCGCATCTTCTAAAGCAAACTCCAAGCTGTCGAGGAAGAAGAGGATAAGTATGCCAACGTGCAGGTACACCATGCTTTTGTGTGTGTTTATGCTATCAAGTTAAAACTTTCAGATGTATTTACTGGTTTTATTTCTAAGAAAATAGAGGTAGCTGGTTGGCTTAGTAACAAAATAGAACCCGGTAAAGCCTTGATGATACCTGTCTACACTAAGTAGAACATAACATGCTCTGAAGAGGTGATGATTGGTTGATTGAAAGCCAGGCTGCAGCTTTTTTTTACAGCCAGGCTTAACAAATATGTTGTTTTGAATAAAATGAGCTTTTCAAATTGACATCAGTGGAAATAATGGTAGAAGTTGTTTGTTAACTCAAACATATTTTTAAATAGTATTTTTCATATTGCTGTCTGGATGAAGTAAAGGTATATGGAAAGACTTGGCAGTGGAGTATAAGAAGTCTGTTATGTGGTTCATGGAATCTCAACCACTTTTTTATGTTAATTTTTACTCATAATATAAGTTTCCCCTGGAGACCGTTCTCAACCAGATGATTTTATTTGAGCCCGTCTAACTCTGTGACATCACACGATCATCAGGAAGAGTTCCTCACCCTGCAGGGTCGGCTGTAATGCCATGAATCAGCCTCTGGTAGTTATCCATCTCCGCCTCCAGCTTCATCTTCACACACAGCAGGTCCTTGTTGTGCCTCACGATGCGCTCCACCTCGGCCCTCACCTCCTTCAGCTCGGCCTCCAGATCCAGGATGACCTTGTTGAGAGGGGCCAGATGCTGGCCGTTCTCAAATTTGGTGAGGGCAACGGCCTCCTCCAGATGACGGATCTGAAACAAAGTGACATGGTTTTGATACCTTTTTTGGGCCTCAAATCCTAAACTGAAAATCCAAGTGTCAAATCCTGAATAGAATAGTTCACTGGGATCTTCTTTTGTTTGTTTAGTTATGTAAGAGCAGATCCCTGTGTCAGAGGAACAGTGTTTGTCAGGTTCAGGATGTACAGTGTAATGACAGGTCAGTGAGGAATGCTTGTGAAAAGGATAGGTGCACTATATAGAAACCCCTAGTTACCATTCCTGTTGTGGCAAAGGGAAGATTTTCTAAATGTTTTTGAAGTATTGCTTTAAATGGTTTGAGGAATTTGGCATCATCTGTTTGACTGATCCCTTGCTAAAGCTGCAGAGTGATCGTGAGTCTTGTGTGTGGTTACCTTGCTGTGTCCTCCCTGGAGCTTGATCTCTAGAGACTGTTTCTGTTTGAGCAGGTCTCTGAGCTCGGACTTCCCAGAGTTCAGGTCCTCGTTGTTTTGTGCCTCCACCACCTTGATGGTCTCAAACTGGAGGAAGCAAAATGAGACAGTAATGATGAGATCAACAGAGGATTAGAGAAAGATACATTAAAGAGGTTACATGGCAGGTTACGTACCTTGTTTTGGTACCAGTCCTCCGTTTCCTTCAGGTTCTTCTCTGCTAGTTTATCATACTGGACGCGGATGTTGTTAACCATCTCAGCCAGGTTGGAGTCCTGGGACTCGATTTCCACTGTCACCTCGGAGTCCTTGATCTTCTCACGCAGGGCACACACCTCCTACAAGAGCCACAGTCACAAGTTACACTCAGTTTTCCATAATGAAATGTTGTTATTTGATCTTGAAGTGTGTGTTTCCTCACCTCTTTGTGTTCCTTCTCGAGGCGGTCGAGCTCTTCCTTCACCAGGTCGATCTCTTTCTGGGTCTGGATGCGGTTCAGCCCGGTGTCCTCGATGGTCTTCTTCAGATCCTCCAGGTCATTCTCCAGTTCCCTCTTTCCATTCTTCTCATCCTCCAGCCTACACACGGGGAGAGGAAGTTCACACCGACACACTGACCAATCAGGATTATTGGATATCAAATCAATCTAGCACTAAACTCACTTGTTCTTGAAGTCATCATTAGCCAGTTTGGTGTTGTCGATCTGGAGCAGCAGCTTGGCATTGTCGATGGTGATTTCCTTGATCTATGGAGATAAATGCATGATATATATTACAAGTAATATTGTTATAATGAAAAAGACTGTATTTAATTTAATATTATTTTACAAAGAAATGAGGTAAGGAATACACCTGAAGACTAACCTGCTTCTTGAGGATGTCCAGTGGCTTCTCCACCTCATCCCAGTTGCGGCCCTCAGGTGTTTTCCTCTTGGTCAAAATCGCATCAATCTGCTTCTCCATGTCGCCGTTCTCCTGCTCCAGCTGCCTCACCAGGCCCAGGTACCCGGACAGACGGTCGTTCAGACCCCGCAGAGTCTTCTTGTCGTCCGCGGGGACAACAGGCACGGCCGGAGCGAGGGGGGCTGCAGGGGCCGGAGCCGAGTCTCTCTCCGTGTCGTTGCGCAGCACATTGCGCAACCCCTCCAGACTCGCCACGGACACCCTGGAGCCCCTTCCCCCGGCTCCACCGAACATACTGGCTGAGGTGTTTGAAGGCATGACTTCTGAGAGATAGCTGACAGCGACGGAGCGTTTCAGGCTAAAGATTCAGATTTTGGATGTGATGGAGACAGGTGGGTTTTATACCTGTTTTTTACGCGTAAATCCGCCCCCAGCGATGCCATTGGCTCCTGGTGCCAGCACCACTCCTGGATAAACTGGTTTACACTCAAAATTCAAGTTTTTCATGTCGACTTTGTTATTTTTCTCACTGTAACTGTGCACTTGGCCTCTCTGGATTGGACGCAAGCAGTGTTTTTGGGATGGGATGGGTGGTCCTTGTTCACCTTAAAAGCAGGTGATCCTGAGGACTGCAGGTATTCTCATAGCTCACCTGATCTTCCTCTGAGTGTCATCTCCCTCTTACCAGCAGCAATATGTCTAAGACGAGAGATTACAGCAGCCAGTCCTACACTCCCGGGAGCAAGCCGACCAAAAGCACCGCGAGCAACAAGATCGACACGTCGGGCAAATCCAGAGAGAAGGATGACATGGTGGGACTCAACGACAAGTTTGTCAGGCTGATCGAAAAGGTATGTCAATTATAATTGTTTTATTATTATGTAATAATAAAACTAATAATAATAATGACTTTTATTATTTGTATTTATTTTACAGCTCAAATAATTATAGGCCTAGCTTTTTTATTTTACGCTTTAAAAGACATATGTTAACTGAATAAAAGGCTGAAAATACAACATTTGTTTAGTTTAAACTATATTTTAATACCGAAATGATACGATCATACGGCATATAATATACGCCAAATTAGTTGAATCTTATTAATCATGTTATTTTTAAATCCTATTTTTAATGCATTTGGGCTTCTTTTTTTTCAAAGAGAAAGTAATACTTTTTTACGTTTTGTACCCATCGTACACTCTTTTAAATACAACACAACTTCGATATCATTCATACAAGCAAATCAATATACAGTACAAGTTAAAAAAACAAAAACTTTGTAGAGTATGTAATATTATCTAAGACCTGTTTCTCTGTCTGCTGCTATTATTTCTGTAACCTGAGGCCATGAAAAGTGCCTCCTTTTACAAGCTTCTCTGCATGTAAAGTTAGAGGTAAATGTAGGACGCCCCCTTGTGGACAATTAGATAACGTTAAGACTGGTCTGTCGACACACTGTAACTTGGGTACTCATACACTTGACATTTAACGTTACGTTTCAATACATAATATACATACGTGGCACATACCTGTTCCCCTTAACTTTATGTTGTGATGCTCCAGCTTGTCATAGATGTGCAAATACTGATTACATTTTAATACTTTTATATTAAATATAGATTTACAGTATATTACAATTGTGCAAAGTAGCTGTTGTCCAATTGTTCTGTTTTGTTTGCCTCTTTGATACAACATATTAAGTGTTTTCCTTATACATTGGACCGAAAAACAAGAGGCATACAATGACCCCTACTTGGTCTGTCTCTGTCTTAGAAAAAGAACTTGGAGGATCAGAACAAAAAGCTTAACGCAAAACTGAAGATCCTCATGGAGAAGGAGGACTACGATGGAAAAATTAACGTAATCGTCAAGCAGTTGGAAAACGAGATGGAGCAGCAGATCGAGAACTTGCTCAACGACCAAGAAAAACTGAAGGCTGAGCTGCTCATGAACCAGGAAGATGTTGACGACACCAAGAAGAGGTCAGCGGGGTCAAACTAAATCTGAATATGTCCATTGGTCCTGAATTATGTCTAAACACAAGGACACATACAAGCTGTCCTGATTTATGTATGAATCTTCATGCAATATTTCTATTTGTTTCAGTTATGAAGTTGAGTTTGTAAAAAAAGCTGATCTGGAGAACGAGTTTATCATCAAGAAAAAGGTAGTGTGGAACCTTAGAAAGATTATAGTTAATACTCTGCTATATTCACAATTTCCCAAAGTTTGATTTACAGAGTGTCAGTCAACAAATGTCAATATTTAATCAAAAAATATGTGTTTAACAGGAAGTAGATGAGAGCCACTTGGATGCAGTAGATCTGGCTTTGGAGCTGGAAGACCTGATGGGAAAACTGGACTTCCTCAGGATTGGCTATGATGAGGTAATACTATTTGTCTTTAATTGCACATAAAATAAGTGAGTTTTAAATAAATAACCTTGTTGTACCCATGTCTGCTTCCTGCAGGAGATCAAGGAGATGGAGTCGCAGGTCCAGAACGAGTCAGTGGTCTTATGCGAAAACAGCAAACGATCCCTGGATATGGACGAAATCATTAATGGTGTCAAGAATCAGTATGCAGATCTGGCCTCCCGTGGCAGGGACGAAGCAGAGCAGTGGAATCAGAAAAAGGTGAGGAAAAAGGAAGATGATACCCAAGACAACAAGTAGGCCTACATAGCCAGTACGTAGTATTGTCACAACATTTTTACCTGGAATGGTTCAATGCAGTGGCGGCCGGCCCATATTTAAAAAATATATTTTTTATTTATTTTTTATTTTTTAATAAACAAGTTAAATATTATATAATTGGTATCAGTAAAATGTATAATCTACAATAAAGTCTCGTTTAAAATTGTGTTACGATGTCTAAAGTTACCGATAAGTCACAGGTTTCCTGCCTGGCCTTGCCCGTGTATCCTTACCCTCTCTCGTCTGGGCGCTCTGCACAGCGCCCAGAAAAGAGTGCAACAAGTGCAGCAGAAGCCAACTGTTGCTATCTTTAAACTATACCGCCAAAACATAATTTCAGCTAATCAGCGTCGTCAAATCTGATGGTCACAGGGCGCCTACGTCAGCGCCCAGTTCAGTCTGTGAGTTGTTTGGACTCATATCCAAAGAGACAAAACAGGAAGCTGTCATTCACTCTGGAAGCTATCATTAGCAGCTAATGAAAACTCAGTTTTTGACATAAAAATGGAATTATGGATTATCAATACTTTTTTCAAAGTGACAGACACATTGGATTAACCTATGATTAACCTTCAGCCGCGCTTTTCTCGTTTTTGATCAGAATAACAGCAAAAGGTGAGCATATCTCTGTGTGTTGCTACCTAAAGCTACGTCGTGTGATGTCTGTATTTGCTTCCCCTGTTGCGAGTTCTGATCACTCAGTGATGATACTTATATTTCTAGAATCTGTGGAATCTCAGCTTGTTAGCTAAGCATGTTTGTGCATATCCGATAATTATATCGATTGATTTATACCTAGAGTGCGTTAGCATTTTTTCGCTCAGGGCTCATTTAGACGCTTCTTGTGAGACTTGTGTTTTGTTTCGGTAAACATGGTTCACATCATCTGGCTGAGTTTCTTACTGTTAAATGAGCAGGACACATGCATAGTTTATTACATTTTAAGAAGCCCTGAGATACAGTTTCGTGAGAAAAAAAACGGGGGGGGTGGGAAGCCCCTTAACAGGTTAAATGGGAATTAAATCATTTAAAGTAATTTTGAGTGTTCCCAAAGCCCCGGTGTTCTGCAGTTTGTGCGGGCCTACTGTACTGTTGCACAGTTTATGCTGTAGAAACTATGTCCAGGACAAGGTGTTTGGAAGTTTTGGAAGATTCATAGCTAACCACACTGAAGATTATGGAGGTATTGATCAGTCTTCTCATATTTTTAAGCCTCAATTTGTCCTCCCCCCCTCTAACATCACCAGAAGTAATAATTTAAGGGGTCTTTTCTCAATTTTAATTTATCGGGGCAATGTACTTTCTTCCTCTCTTTAGATGGATGCGCTGGTCCTAAATGCAGGAGAGCGTGAGCAGGAAGTGCGTGATTTAAGGAGGGATATCGCTGACCTGGTGCGCATCATCCAGAGGCTCAACGGGGACCTGGAGGCTCTCATAAGAAAGGTTGTGATCACAAGCACTCTTGGAGGTTTAATCGCACATCTAGCCTAGCCTCTGATTTTCTGTTTGACTGTGTTTCTATGTTAGGAAGAGTCCCTGAAGAGCCATATCGCTGAGTTGAAGCAAAGTGGCAACGCAAACTTAGAGAAGGCTCGGGGGGACATCGCCAATCTGGAGGAGGCCTCTAGGCGGGTCAGACAAGACTTGACGGGACAGATCCGAGAACACCAAGAGCTGATGAACCTCAAGCTGGCTCTGGACATCGAGATCGCCACCTACCGCAAGCTGCTGGAGGGCGAGGAGCAGAGGCACGTGAGATCATGTTTGTTATCAAATATACCACAATGCATTATTTATTGCACTAACAACTCTTTCTGTTTTTGCTCCGTCTCTCTGCAGAATGAGTAACCTCATGCGTCGCCCAGGTGAGAAATATGTTGTTGCTTCTACACCACTGAATCCTTCGATATAACAGAAAGCAATGCAGAAAATGTGCACCAAAAAAAAGTGGAGGTTGCCCAATTTATGCTCTGATAGATTCAAGATTTGTTTTCAACTAAAATACAACCTCCCTTTTGCTTAGATTTCTAAAAAAACAAACCAACCAATCCAAGTCCTTACTCGCACGCAGACGTTCACCTGCCATCGAAGAAACACCTTCCAGAGAAACCACGAGCCCCAGAACCCTCCGAGGTCCCGAGAGAAAGTGCTATCCCGGCCTCGAAGAAACGCCTGCTGATCCAGGTGGAGGTGGAGTCCGGAATACTGGTGTCCGAAATCTCCCATTACTCTGAAGATTGACCGGGACTGTCTACCACACCTCTGTCCGTAAAATGTGAATCAAAGAAATTCAAATCACTGTGAACTTCTCTTTAAATCCAATACTTTATCTTTACGCTCTGTGTGCAAAAGCTTCTTGGCAGGTTGATCGTTTTTTCCTAGAATCCGTGCTTGTTTGAGATGGTTTGTTTAGTTCCATGTGGCAGTGTTTTAAAAAATGTTTTCTTATCTTTGTTCGCCTTTGCAAAGGTTGTTTTTGTGTATTTGTCAGCTTTATTCAGTTGTTTCTCTCCTAACTTTGTGAGCAAAAATAAGATTGTGTATTCGTGATAACGAAACGCTGAAAAAAGTTTGCTGATACATTTAACACTAAAATAAAGAACAGGTGAATAAAGTAGTGTTTCTGTTCTGTTTGTCCACAATATTGGGAAGAATATTCATTAAGATGATCCGGAGTAGAACTGGATGCTTAAAATGCCTTTTGAAAATCTGAAGGCATTACAGAGTTTACTTTTAGGCTGACTTGCACTATAATACAATTAATAAATAAAGTGCCATGAACAATACATCTGCTCTCTTTCCTTTCAAGTAACATGAATATATTGTCAGACATTTTGGAAAATACATTTGTTATCTTGCCAAGAGTAAGATGAGAAGATTGATATCACACAAATCGCCTAAATATGTAGCTGGAGCCAAGAGCTTGTTAGCTTAGCTTAGTATACATATTGAAAAGAGTTGAAATCCCTCTTTCCAGGCTAAGCTATAGCTAATGTTCTACCCTATCTGAATCCAGACATAGTTTGGGAACACTGTGTTTGTTTGTCAGTTGCTTTCCACCTGATACAGATAGCTTCAGTCAAACAGAGCCGGACCCGGACAGTCTCATCCGGTTCTCCTCGGTCTTCCTGACACACGAGTAGGCTACACAATATTCCGATGTGGAAAGCCTACTGGAACATACTGTAGTTTAAGCAAAGCAGGATATACAAAAGACATACAGTCTGTGTGCCCTGACCTCTTCATGATATCCCATCTCTCCTAATGTCCCGTAGCACTTCAGACTGTGTGCTTTATAATTTGATTAAAGTCTGCTTCAGCTCGTCTATTTCCACCCACATACTGTGCCGTATGTACACATTTTAAACTAGACTTTAATTAGGGAAACAAAAAGCATGTATTGCATGTTTAATCAAGTCTCAAATAAAAATCTAATTTCCCTTGCATGGATTTTTACAACAAATACAGTTTCAGCTCATCAAACAGTATTTAAAAGCAGCTTTTACAGGTATTTAACCTTCCTGTAACAGTTTATCTAAATATAGCAGAAACTAATTTGCAACTGTAACATGCACACATGGTTTACGCCCAGGGCCGGCCCTGACCAAGATTTTAGCTGGCGCCCCCCCACCACAAATGCAGACACTCACTATGACTCGCGCATGCATGCACGTGCACGGTTTTGGCGTGACCACCAAAACAGAAAGATATGGACACAAGATGTGTTCAAATTTATTTAGTATCCTATCCATTTGAACATGATGTAAATGGGGGGGGGGGGGGGGGATTTTTTTTTATTTATATTGAAGTTAAAAGCATCAATCTAGTGCACTTTGAGAGCAACATTAAGAGATCTATGGATACATCTCTCAACAGCCATATGAAACAGAACTGTAAACAGATTTTTTTCTTTATGGATATTTTACAAATCACTTAAACTGTATTCTTGCTTTACTGTCATATAGTATTTCATAACTGTTTTTCATTTATTCTCTCTGGCTGTCCATCTCATAAAATTCAAATAGAAACTAGCTGTCAATAGGAACATCATTCAGAAGAATTATAATTTCTTGCAAAAATCTGTCACAAAAATAGGTTGCACATTTAAATTCAGGTGTTTTTATGGCAACGTCAGTGGCCAAACAGCCACATTTACTGCTGCAAATACGTTCAAAAATGCTGTTGACACCTAAAGCAGTGGCAACTATGCCACCATTTCAGCTGACTTTTTCTCAGAAATACTGTCACATAACATCCATATATTTCAGTGCTAGTTTGATGCTTAGCTAAGCTAACTATGACCTTAGTGGCTGCGGGGCCCTAAGCGGACGCTTATGTCGCTTAATGGATCGGGCCAGCTCTGGATTGGGTGCATCCCTTTCCCCTCTTCATCTTGCATACCAGTAGATAAACACGAGTGGAGTAAACATTGCTGGCAGGTGGTTGAAACTTGGAAAAGATCTAAACTGATAACAAGCACAGGCAGGACAAGGAGAAATAAGAGTATAGTCTTATGTATGTATAGCATACCACCTGCTAAAAACCAGCACGTTAGCATTGTGAGCATAGCATGCCGACTGTGAAAACAAACCCTAGCAGCATAATTTCTAACAGATTCATCTTCATAAATATTCATCAGTTTCTTCTCAGACCGCCACTTCTTCGGACCCCTGCGTCCTCCACCTGTCTCTGAGTTTCTGGACAAGTTTATATGCAGGTTCTGTGTACTGCCTGTTGACTAGGCCGAGCACCAGCGGCACCACGGCCATGCTTCCAATCCCGGCGCACGACAGCACGATGTGAGTGGTGGAGCTCCTCTTGGTGTCGCTGATCAAGAATCCGATGCAGACGTGCATGTAGATGAGGTAGGGTACCCAGCATGCCAGAAAGGTCAGAGACACCGCCACCACGCAGCGAGTGTAACGCAGGTTAAGCCTCTGTTCTTGGTCCGAGGCCTGACTTCCCCTCTCTACTGAGCGATGGAGGCGACAGATGTCCTTCAGCTGGCCTCGGGTGATCCACAAAACACGGCCAGTCATGCCAGCGATGGTGAGAATAGCAGGTAAGACCAGTCCATACACCTCCAAGTAGATAAAAGCGTTGGGGAATACTCGCCTGTACGAGCAGCACGTTGGTCTGTTTATTGAACAGTTTGAAAGTAGAGTTGTATTTTGGCTAATTGCACAACAGCCGTTCCAATCAGGCCCTGTCCAGTTATTCCACCCAAAAGCAGGTAGAGATGCGTACAGAAGTGGAGGCGTCCAAACCACAAGCAACGCCAGAGGGAAGCTGCGGTGCATCCACAGGTTGTTGTAATGCAGGGGGTCGACGATGCAGATGTAGCGCTCATAGTGGACCATCACCAGATTCAAAAGGAACGCCAGGAAGAGGAAGTTTGGGAAAATGTGAGCCACCAGGCAGGAGCTGAAACTCAACTCTCGGTTCAGACCCATTAACGGTATGAAAGGCAGCGCCACCCCCGTGCACAGATCTGCCACCAGCAGGCTGAGGAAGAAGTAGTTGGGCGTGTTGTGGAGCTGACGGTTCCAGGCGATGCCCATGATGATGACGAGGTTGGCCAAGATGATGGAGGTGGACAGGGGTATGGTGATGGCGTAGATGAGGTGCTCTCCAGAGAGCAGAGCATGGGAGTCGTTGCAGTCCATCATGTGAGAAATCTGCAGACTGGTTCCACTCCCATCAACCTTGCAGGGCGGAAATGCATTGGTAAATAAAGAAAGATATTCCTATCTACAGTTTAAAAGAAAACTTCTAAAATGCAAAAGAAAATATGCATTTGTTTAATAATTACCTTCACTTTTGGTTCCTTAAAGTACTCCTTTATTAAGTTGAGATAAAATAGTGAGCTATGAGCTTCTTGTGTCAGGACAGTTACCGTGCACTAGCCTACACACTTCCTTTCTATCATATCCTGTCAACTGAACACTATTAACCCTTTAGTGAACAAACAGCCGAGATAAGAGCACGTATAAACGGACGTGAGGCCACTTTCATTCAATAATTCATCAGCAGGGACTCTAAAGTTACAAACGCTTTGTGTCTTTTATATTTTAAAACGTGATACAGGAGAACACTTAACAAGTCAGTGAAACTAGTCAGTTTATGTGAAAATCTCTATAGTTACATATTTTGGTGGTACAAATAAATATTGACAATATTTCAAATGTCAGTACACAACAGGGAGTTTTATAGAACCAAAGTCCTGTTACAGTTTTCACCTTTACAAGTCTTTAAAAGGTTTAAAAACAGAAACAAAATGATTTTTCAACATAACTGCTATTTACTATTTGGTTTAATTGATGTTCTGTTGGATCTTCTTGTGGGGATTTATCATTTAACTCATCTTATCTTGTTGTGAAATTAGACTTCCTTTAGAGAATGTGTGAAGCAACATTTTTTCACGAGATAAAATGTTGCTTCACCATACAAAGCTCGCGTTTCAACATTTGTTAGCACCAGTAACAAATAGCCAAATATGAACCATTTAAAACAAAAAGGAACAAATCTTGGAAGACTTTTACCTTTTAGATCCAGTCATATATCCTTGGAAAAATCCCTTGAATATCACATGTACAAGAAGGAGATGCATCACCACCACCATGGAGTCCAGGAGTGTCTTCTTTATCCTTTAAGATCCTTTCAGCTACAGCAGCCTGACCACACAGTCACAGAGAGATAGAGTGAGGAGCCAAGAGTGTCTCTCAGATACTTTAAAGGGGAAGTGCACACTGAAGGAGGAGAAGGAGGAGGCGTATATCTCTCGTTTCCTGCAGCTGGTCATGCTGAGGTTGGGATCAGTGTCCACTAACCATTCAGCTACTGACTTTGTCTTGCAGCCTTTGTTCCCTACTGTCCATGAATGCATTACCACTGCAGCCTGAAGAACATGCCTGGGTAACATCAGTATCGACCTGACATGAGGTTTAAATTCACACCCTCCATAATGGCCCCCAGATGCTTATAAAATATGATCAACTTAAACCTCAGTTAGAAAATTAAGTGATGGACACAAGAAGTTGTGAAATACATCAATTTTTCCCTTAGTTACACATTTAGTTTACAGACCAAGACAGTGTTTAACATTTTACAACAAACTGTTGTCCAAGTTCACCACTTCTTGCAACATTGCCTTGTGTCTATTTCCTGGGGGTGTTGTAGGTCCTTTATCTCCTTTTAAATCTCTAATTTAATATAAATAATAATATTTAAACACACCACCCGGCCACATTGGTTTTATTATACGCAAATGGTCAAACGGTTCTGACAAGTAAACTAAATGTAGGGTTAGGGTTAGGGTAAGCCAGTGGTTCTCAAACTTTTTCTGTCAGGCCCCCCCTTTGGAGGAAAAAAAAAGTCGGGCCCCCCCAACACAAATAGTCAGGCTCAGTGGCGGCGCCAGAGATTCTATTTTGGGGGTGCTGTGGGGTAGCTTGACGNTTTTTTTTTTTTTTTTATGTTTTTTTTTTTTTATAACCATTTTTCCTCCTGGTCTCTCGCGCCCCCCCTGTCATGCCTCTGCGCCCCCCACTTTGAGAACCACTGGGGTAAGCTAACATTAGCTCTCTTAGCTAGAAAACAATTAGCCTAATGTTTTCCACCAATTGTTTACATTTAGATAGTTGGACTAAATACATAAACACATGTATACACTTTTATTTGACACAATTAAGAGCCAAGCTAGTTTTTTTTATACCTGCTTTGAGTTTTACAAACACATTTCAAAAACAGCCATACCATTCTGTTTAAAACAAATTTGCTCCGGACCCTAACGTATACAAAGACTGCTTACGAGAGTGTGTACGTCTGAATTCATAACAGCCGTCACACACATCTTGTATTTAAACACAGCTTTAGATGGAGGGCCGGTGGTGACCTGTTCTGTGAGCCAAACACGAAACACTCCTTTACTGATAGTCTGGAGCAGACCTGGTGCTGGTTGAGATGGACGAGCTGCAGTCAGATAATGGCTTTTAAACAAATACGTTCCCGAGGTCTGGAAGACACTACGCAGGGAGGACAAGCTGGACGTGAAACCACAACATCTTCACATTACAAAGGAGAAGATGGAGCATTTAGGCTTTCCTGGAACATAGGGTCCTACTGAACAGCACATTATCTAATCCTATTTTGTATACACAGTGGAAACATTTAATGTGATATGATTAATTTAAAGTCCTCAACAGAATCCCTAGCTCGCAAAGGAGTTCAAAGATTGTTTGTCAAGCTAGCTAACGTAAGCTAAAACACGGCTCTAGCTATATTGGCTTACACTTTTTTCATTGACTGTGGCACACTTTTTCTTTCTTTTTTTAGGATTTCCGTTTCTTTAAGCCATTTATCTTCCGCACTTTAAAATGTTTGCTCCTTTTAACCGTTCGTTTTTTTTATTTTGAACTTCACACTTCAATTTGACCCTTCAACTTAGTATTTTTCCATATTGAGAAACTGAGCTGTAAACCCCCATTTAAAAAAAATAAAACATAAATGATTTACCAATTTAAAATGATTACACTTTTTACAATGTCACCTAACTGAGTCCCTTCTTCATAATGTTTCCGTTAGTCTCTCTGCAAAGTGTGAAACAGATGTGTTTTTAATGGGTTTGCCTCCGGCCTTCTCTTCATCCAGACATGTTTACCTTGGCACTGGCACCTGTCTGTTTCTGCACAACCAATTTGTTTAGCATCTGTTTTCAGCGCACCAGCTCCCTGACAATGAGCTGTGATTTAATAGATCAGGCAGTGGCCATGTCAGTCTAAATGTGATAATCCTGAAGGCCACTCCTCGCCTTTGTGTTCGTCAGCACGGTGACCTTTGAGGCCAAACACGGCTGTGACAGATGAGGAAAATATCATGCTGCCAGGTGTTTCTATCCCCTGGCCCAGCTGCATGCAACAATGCTACTCAAACACTGAGTTTAGTCCATACAATAAAACACGTCATGACTACAGAAATACACTTGATTCTGTGCATCATCTTCTAACTATATGCCACCATACTCAACTATTTTTACAACGCCTTGAAGAAGTACACAAACATGTTTGTGCGTGCAAGTGTTTTACGGCCTGCCTGTCCCGGTGAGTTATGCATGGTCACTTAGACACATACAATGCGTGAGTGGAGGATCCAGGTACGAGGAAGAAGCACTTGTGCACAGGATACTGATTCCCGGTTGTTTTTCCTCATATAGCTGAGAGGAGAACAAAAATAGAACAATAGAGTTAAAGGAACAGAGCAGGTTTTGGCCTTGAATAAAGGCCAAAAGGTTTTTATAAAGTATGAGAATGAAGGAGGGCAGTTTGAACCCTGACTGAATCACGTTTCTTCTCTGATAAATGTGGTCTTCATCAGGGAGAGGGTAACCAATCACATTTCAGCGATTCACTGTGGTGCATAATGTTGTAAGTTTTCCTTCAAACATGTTCTCGTACTTTAACAAGCAGAGATAAATATGTTAGCAAACACTTAGTCACACATATACACTGGTGAGCAGCTGCTTCGCCTGTGTAAAAGCAGAAAGTGAAGCAGCTGATGTATTTCCTGATTGGGGGAAATACAGGTCATGGATGTAGAGTATGTTTTGCACGATCAACATCTACTTGGTAATAGAAAGTGGAATCATCTCTGCTGAGGTTTTGGGAAACTTCCTTAAGAGTCCTGTCTCCTGACTTCTGTTACTCATATCTGATAAAAACAGATAATGTAATCTGAGTTAAAACTGATTCCAATTAGTCCAAACAAGAAAAGAGCCCACTTGAAATGAGATTTTTTCTCAGGCCCTCCACATGTCACCATAAAGGGACAACTTTAGTCTGAACTCACTACAGAGACTGAAACATACACAAGTATAAACAGTTTTTTTTAAGATGGAGGAAACAGTGATAGTCATAGTAGAGAATTAACATACCCAGAAGACAGGATATGATTTATTATTTTTGTATTTACACTTGCATCCAAACTTGGTGAGTCATGGTGAGAGCTGGAAGACCACACACATTAAACAAACTCCAATTAAGGAAGAAATTATATTGAAATTCCTCTTTTCTGTCTCATGTTTTATCTGTAAAGTCATTTAAGGCATACAATACCTGTCAAAGGGAAAGCACACTGTAATGTATCACTCTTCAATCTCTGTTTAGTCTCTCAAACTGTGGAACAACAGGATACTTAAGAAAGAGACAATGACCAATCCGATTTGAAGCATTTTTCTCTCTCAGTGAGGCTTATTTTAAACATTTTCCAATCAAGCACAACTGATGGGAACTGAAGAAAACATATTTTGGTTGTTACAATCCTACCGAAGCAGGTCAGATCATTGAGATCATTGCTGAGAACACTTCAAAATCCTGAGGGGAAGGGAAGAAAAAGTCTGATTATGAAATGTCTTTGCTGTTTCTCCTGAAATATTTCCTCTCTTCTTCTTTTCTTCCTCCCTTTAGCGATCGGGTCTTTGGAGGCAGAACACTTTCGACTGGTTGTCTCCAGAAGCAGTGACGGCGAAAGTCCCTTCCCTGAGGGAGAAATAAACAAAAACAACAGTAAATAATCATAATTTAGTGATTAAAAACTGTGTATTGACATCTTAAGAGGAGACTTCACCTGTTGATGGCGAAGTTGAGGATCTCTGCGCTGTGGCCGTGATACTCCGCCATGATGCTGCCGGTTCGAGCGTCCCACAGGCGCAGCGCACCGTCTAAGCAGCAGGTGGACACCACAGAAGAAGAGTCCTCCCACTGCAGGTGAACGATGCCGGCCTGGAGGACCACAGGGAGGAAATTCAGCATAAAAACTCTGGTTAGTGGAGCTAATAAAACAGTTTCACTAGAGCAGGTGGGGTATGTTAAGAAGATAATCAACCAGCATCCTATGTGTTATTACCATAGCATGGTCCACTAATGAAATAACTTCCTGCTGTGCGTTACCTCATGTTGGCAGCGGTGCCTCATGACCTGAGAGGAGAGATCGTACACGCCCAGAGTCCCGTCCAGATACGCCACGGCGACCAGAGGCAGGCTGCAACACACCAGAGGTCAGACACTAGTACAGGCGAAACAGGGTTTTATATGTATTCATTATTTCTCTACCCTAACAAAAATATCTTTAAGGCTGTTTTCTAAAAATGTGAGGTCTCCTAACATCAGGTTGATGGAGGATTACACTTTACACTCTTCACTACTCACATGTTGCAGAATCCCACAGATTCGATGGAGTTTGGTTCCTCGTCATGTTGTGATGGTTTGACCTTGGCTACGTCCAGCGAGTACTGTCCGACCACCTTTACACACACACGCATATTGGAAGAACAAAGTGTGTGAGTTTGCCCTGCGTTGCAGTTCGACAAACAACAGTATTGTTTTGGCACCCACCTTTCCTGTGGCGGTGTTGATGAGCTTGGCGAATCCGTCCACTGAGCCCGTCAGCACCAGAGAGCCGTCCTTGTTGCAGGACAGGCAGGTGAGCGCCCCCCGGTGGCCGTCGTGACCTGTTATAAAAGGGGAAACACTGTTATAGTCAGCAGCACAGACACTCAGATATATGGAGAACAACACATTTTCTTGGTTTTATATTTAAACTAGGGTCGGGACTTTAACGCGTTAATTAAGATTAATTAATTACACAAAAATTAACGCATTTTAATCGCACTTA